CCCCCCCCGACAGGCCTCTCCTCCTCCTCCGTGGATCCGCCTCAGCCCCCTTTCGAAGGGGGCTCGTTCCTGGGAAGCAGCCGTGTTCCCCCCTGAGCGGAGCAAAGTGTGAGCCGGCTCACGGTTTTCTAGCCTCCGGCTCACACTTTTTTGCCTTCGCTCAGGGAGGAGGGCTCCAGAGCAAACTCGTTCACGCAGCAGCCAAATCGCTCGCTCGCTCACCACTTTAAGGCCCGGTAGCTCACGAAGTGGAATTTTTGCTCACAGGACTCCGCAGCTCAGAGGGAGCGTTGGCCAGCAGCCGTGTTCCCTCTGAGCTGAGCCAGTGTGAGCTACCTCACAGTTCTTTAGCCTCCGGCTCACACATTGTTGTCTTCGCTCAGGAAGGATGGGCTCCCGAGCAAACTAATTGATGCAGCAGCCGAGTCGCTCGCTCACAGCTTTAATGCCAGCAGCTCACAAAGTGGAGTTTTTGCTCACAAGACTCCACAGTTTAGAGGGAGCATTGCTCCAGAGCGAACTCATTGATGCAGCAGCCAAATCCCTTGCTCACAACTTTAATGCCAACAGCTCACAAAGTGGAATTTTTGCTCACATGATGCTGCAGCTTAGAGGGAGCATTGGTTTTCACCATCCTGATTAATTTGGTGTCATCTGCAAACTTGGGCACTGCTTCCCAGGAAGGGCGGGGTAAAAATCCCAATAAATAAAAAATACAAATAAATCACTCACCCCTAGTTCCAGATAATTGATGAATAAATTAAATAGTACCAGCCTCTGTACCAATTCTTGTGGGACCCCACTGTTTACTTCCCTCCATTGTGAGAACTTTCCATTGATTCCTATTCATTGCTACCTGTCTTTTAAGAAGTTTTTTTGTCACATGACCGCTAAATGAGGTACTTTGTCAAAAGCCTTTTGAGAGTCCAAGTATATAATGTCTACCGGGTCACCTTTGTCTACATGCTTGTTCACTTTCACAAAGAGCTCCAGAAGGCTGGTGAGGCAGGACTTTCCTTTGCAGAAGTCATGCTGATTTTCCCTCAGCAAAGTTTGTCCCTCTGTGTGCCTAACTATTTTGTCTTTGATTACAGTTTCTACTGATTTGCCTGGGACAAGCATTAGCCCAACTGACCTATAAGTTCTTGGTTCCCCTCTGGATCCCTTTCTAAAAATTGGTGTCACATTTGCTACTCTGCAGTCTTCTGGTCCCTGAGATGCTCATCTTCTGCATGCAGGGAACTGCCCTGAAGCCCTCCTACGGCTGCCAACTCTGCATTGGGAATACCTGGAGATTTTGGGGGTGAAGCCTGAGGAGGGCGGGTTTCTGGAGGGGAGCGACCTCAGCAGGCTATCTCTCCTTATATATAAAAGCCAGTTGGGGTGGCTTCTGGCCTATGAGGTGGCAGGATTAATGCACAGCAAAATCAGTTCGCCGGCTGATCTACCACGGGTCCGGGCCACTGGCTAACTTGCCTGACTGCTTGGCTCACTCCCGCCCACACAGCCGCAGGCTAGCCGCTCACCCTCAGTATCCAGGAAGCCGCCACACGGGAAGGATGCTGCAGTGCCTGGATGCTGGTGAGGGGGGAGGAGGCGGGCGACCAGCCTCACTGGCCTACCACCACGCCCCACTACAGTAATGGAGGGGAGGGCCGTGGCGCGCTTCCCTGGCCCGCCGCGGCCTGGCCCATGGATGCTGATGGCCCTTCTTCCAGGGGGGTGTTCGGCGTTCCCTGCGCTGGCCCCGCCGTCACACCCTGATTCACCACGGGGAAGGGGGAGACCAGCAGCGCTGCGCTTCCCTCGCCTTCCGCGGCCTGGCCCAGCCTGACCACGGCCCCTTCTTCGGGGGGGTTGGCCTCCGCTGGCCTTCCCCGCCTCCCGCCTCACTGCCCTGATGGTGCGCCCCGGCTGCGCTTGGGGCACTGTCAAAACAACCGTGCCATGCTTCTCAGGGCCGCCGCGTCTTCGCCCAGCCAGCTCGTGGCCCCTTTTTTTTGGGGGGGTGGCCTCCGCCGGCCTGCACCGCCCCCTGCCTCGCTGCCCTGATGGTGTGCCCCGACTGTGCTCAGGGCGCTGGCAAAATGGCTGCGCCACACTTTCCAGGGTTGCCATGCCTTCGCCCAGCCAGGCCGCAGCCCCTTCTTCGGGGGGGCCACCTCCACCCGCCTTCCCTGCACCACCACCACCACCCCGCTGGCCTGGCGGCGCGCTCCAACTGAGCTTGGGGAGGTGGGTCATGGCCCCGCTGCTCTTGCCTTGACCGCTGCGGCCTGGACCGCACAGCCTGCAGGACCGTCTTGGGGTGGGCGGGTTCGGCCTCCACCGGGCTTCCCTCAGCCGACCCCGCCGGCGTGCCCACGGGTCCCCGCCGCGTTGCTGGCTGCCCAACAACTGCACGGGGTCTGGAGAGAGCAACGCTGCGCTTCCCTGGCCCGCTGTGTGCGTCCCCAGCCACAGGGCCCTCACCCCAGAGTCTTCGTAGGGCTTGTTGCCTTCACTTTGCAACGGGCTTTGCGCCTAGTAATGCCATAAAGTCCATCCTTGAAAGCTTCCCTGTGAGGAAAGGTTAAAGCGCTTAGGGCTCTTTAGCTTGGAGAAACGACGACAGAGGGGAGACATGATTGAGGTTTATAAGATTATGCATGGGATAGAGCAGGGTGAGAAAGAGGTCCTTTTCTCCCTTTCTCACAATACAAGAACTCCTTGTGGGCACTCCATGAAATTGCTGAGCGATCGGGTGAGAACGGATAAAAGGAAGTACTTCTTCACCCAAAGAGTGATTAACACTTGGAATTCACTGCCACAGGAAGTGGTGGCGGCTGCAAGCATGGACGGCTTCAAAAGGGAATTAGATAAGCATATGGAGCAGAGGTCCATCAGTGGCTATTAGCCACAAGGTATAGATAGGGGCTCTGGGGCAAGTGATGCTCTGTCATCTTGGTGCTTGGGGGGGTCAACAGTGGGAGGGCTTCTAATGTCCTGGCCCCACTGGTGGACCTCCTGATGGCACTGGTATTTCTGGCCACTGTGTGACACAGAGTGTTGGACTGCATGGGCCATTGGCCTGATCCAACGTTGGCGTCTCTTATGTTCTTATGACAGATGAATAGTTAGGGAAAACTAGCAGCTTCGTTGTTAAATTGCTATCAGTATTTAGGTAGAAGTGAATAAAGTTGCAGTGCTTTTCAACTCCACACCTTAGTTGTTCTGGTTGTCAGTTCTGAATAGAATGTAAGGTTTTCTGTTTAGGTTAAAAATCCGTAGTACTTAAATATTTGTGTCAGTTAACCTCATTGATATAAGGACCATGGGTTCAGCAAATGGATAAAATAAATGAAGCCCTTGGCTACAATTATTAGTTAGTTTCCCCAAAAACAACTTGCTTATTGATTGAAATTTCCTTACAAAATGTTTCAGTAAAATGTCATCTAATATTTGTGTTTTAATTTTCAACTTTGCAGTATTCTTGCAATGAAAGCGTGTAGCTTGTGGATTCTCTGAACAGTGGCACTGCCAGAGCATGTCTGCTGGGACCTCCCCCTTTCCAGTTTTTATTCCTACTAAGACGGAATTGAGTCTTCATATGCTTCACAGGATTCTGTAGTTGGCTTATGCCTTGTTTAATAAGACGTTCGTGAACACTTCCGTGTTTGACTCTAGAGGAAAAATGACTTCAGGACCAAGGAAACCCGATCTCATGTGAGCCGTTTCCACCAGTACCAACTGGTCTGAAAGGATAATCCTCTCCTGGTCCTCCTAATGGATTACTCCAGTGATTAATGGGAAGGGAAATCAGGGCAGGATTTTCAAGTGTAAATGCTTAGGTAACTCAACACAGAAGGGAACCAAGACAGGAAAGGATAAATATGGATCAAGAGCAGAATGAAGAGGACCATGTTTCCCGCTGGGATAATCCATCTCCAGTTGAAAGAAACAGTCAGAAACAGTCACCTTCAGAAAAGGCTGTGGATCATAATACAAGCACTGAGAGCCATTCCGCGAAGCTCTCTCACCTGAAGCAACTCTTAACAAGATTTGGCTTATCCGTGGATGACTTGAAGAAACTTAGTCAGTATCCAGATGATCAACTGACACCTGAAAACATGCCTGTATTGTTGCAGGCTATCCGAACGAGCAAACTGGCTTCTAAGGCACCTACTTTCCCTTCAAAGAGCACAGAGAAAGAAACCGTTTCTCGTGCTGATGGCAGTGGTCCCACGGTACAGAAAAAAGTGATTGACTATGGGCATAAAAGCAAGTATGGATACAACGAAGGCCCCGTGGAAGTGAAGGCCTCATCCACAGCGACGGATGAGAGCGTGAAAGGATTTCAAACCCAGGAGCCTGCGTCTGTGCCTGCTGCGGCCTCCAGTTTAATTAGCAATCCAAAGAACCTCACTACAGAACTAATACAACCGGCGGGGTCTCCGGCAAGTACACCAAACTGTCAGGCTTCCCCCCTTGTGAATCCTGCCCAAAAAGTGCCTTTAGCAGAACTTGGGATCCCTGCAACAGTCCCACCTGTGAGGCCCCCACCGGTGGCACCCGTGCCTCAGGCTGTGAGGCATCCTGCCACCCCGCCTCTCCTTAGTCCAGCTGTGAACCAGCCCTCTTTTGTTCCTGAACTAATGGAACTTCTACGTAGGCATGAAAGATCTGAGCACACACGCAGGGCTGATCCACCTAATCGTCTGTGTCAGACCATGGCTGGCCAGAGGAGTTTGTGGAAGGAGGCTGAAGAGCCCTTTAAGTCCCCCTTTGGCGTGGTGAAAGCCTCGTGGCTTCCAGATTTTTCACCAACAGAGAAGCAGAAGGGGAAGAAACTGCCCACATCGCCGCAGATGTGCGATTACTACGCTGTGACTCCGAGAATATTTCCACACACTTGTTCTCTGTGTAATGAAGATTGTATAGATAAGAAGGTGAGTTAACCCCCCCCCCCCCCAGCATACATTTGAACATGTTATATTCTGGACATCATGCCACAGGTATTTACTTGTGGGGTCTGTGTGCTACATTTCTCTGCAAAGGGACCCAAATCAGGTTACAGACAGACAGACACCAAAATGCAAATTACCACGTTAAATAACCAATAAAATAAAACACCAGAACAAACAGATCTGGCACTGGCCTTTA